ACTGATGTTTAACTACTTCCTAATTAATTCTAATTTGCCTGTTTAGTCTTCTAGTCGGACTTATTATTCTCTTCCTTCTTAGTGTTGTGTTTACCTTGCTCTGTTGTGTTTAGGGTTCCTTAGGTATCATCTGCAATATGGAAGTGGTCATGGATTGCGTTAGCTTATACTGACCTTGACTTCCTTATATTCTTAAGGATACTTGTTCTTGATATTGTGATCTGGGCTGGGCATCTACTGTCACCTGGTATCTTAGAGTTTTATTGTTGTGAAGAGAAACCAGAATGACAATAACTCTTATAAAGGAAAACATTTAGCTGGGGCTGGTTTACAGTTTCAGAGGTTTAGTCCATTGTCATCATGGCAGGACATGGTGGCATGCAGGCAGACATGGTGCTGGAGAAGGAGCTGAGAGTTCTACATCCTGATCTGCAGGCAGCAGAGGTGAAGACTGTGTACCACACTGGGCATAGCTTGAGAATATGAGACATCAAAACACACCTCCACAGTGACACTTTCTCCAACAAGGCCACACCTCCTAATAGTGCCAGTCCTTATGGACCGAGCATTCAAACACATTAGTTTATGGGGGCCATACCTATTCAAACCACCACCTGACCTCAGAGTTTCTGTTGGCAAATCTGATATTATTCAGATGTTTTCTGCCTTGATACATGAGTTGGCTCTGTCGGTACAGTATTCTTTCTCAGTTCTTTACTGTTGACATTTTATCTAAATATACAATGAAAGGGATCTTTTCTGGTTAATTTCCTGGGTTTGTAAACAATCCTTGTATCCCTGGTATTGTGTCACTGAATAGATTTTCTGTACCTTTAGTTTGTCCCTTTTGTTTTTTGTTTTTGTTTTTTGACAATGTAACCAGGGACATCAGATTATAGTGAGGAGTTGAATGTATTTCCAGCTGGATTCTATGGTGAAGTTTCCCACTGACTTCTTTGGTGACTTGATTGTCTTCTGATGGTGTGTAGTGTATCGGAGCCTGAAGTTCCAACCTTTCCTTGGGGTCTTATAAGATGACAATTGTACATGGTTGCACATGTAGGACACACCCTCTGCAATCATTTGTAGTCTTATCAGCCATTCAGAGTCTGAAAAGGCCTGGGTATAATACAGGGTGGCCTTGCGTCGATGGAGTGTCCACAGTCCTTTTATCTCTGCTATAGCTCTTGGAGGTGGCGTATCCATGAGTAGGCCTTCAGGCCCATTAACCTGCTCAGATATCGGTTGTTGGCTTGAGGCTTTTTATTCTCCTTTCTTTTTTGAGTTATAGTATCGTTTTAACTTTGAGTTGGGTGTGTAATATTGAGCAGTATGTGCTGACTCCTAGCTGGGTTGAGGATGTTCTTCCATGGCAGGGCAAAGTGTGTCTTGGATCCCCAGTGTCTGTAGGGAGAAGAATTACCACTAACAGAAGCAAATAGCATTGAGCTAGAATCAGGAATAAAATAAAACCAACTACCTCTTATATCATGTATAGCTCTGGTAACAACTGCCAGAGTGGTAGGGGCAGAAATCAACCTTCAGGAAAATGTTTTAAAAGATGTTTTTTTTTTTTTTGAGGGGGGTGTTGTTGTTGTTGTTTTTCAATAAGGAAACAATTAGAGAGAAGAAAAATGATAAATAGAAATGATGAAAGGCGTCAAATGAAGACCCTAGTTATAAAAGTATGTGTAGAATAAAAGAATTCCGATTAATCAAAGGAGATGGAGAGAGAGAGAGAGAGAGAGAGAGAGAGAGAGAGAGAGAGAGAGAATAACAACAGCAAAACCCCAAAGACCCCCAAATGGGAAATCAAAAGGAGAGGCTTGAGAAAAGGATCTCTCTCTCACATACACAGAGACACACACACATACAAACACACACATATACAAACATGGACACATACATGGGCACATACACAGAGACTCACAGACACCAGACAGACAGACAGACAGACACAGAGACAGACAGTCAAACAGACACACACATACCTACATATATATACACACACACATACACGTGTACACATATACTTGTACATCAGCAAATACAGACAAACAAAAGGAGTGTTCAGAGCCAGGTGGTGGTGGTGCACACCTTTAATCTTAGCACTCAGCAGGCAGAACCAGGTGGATCTCTGAGTTCGAGGCCAGCCTGGTCTACAGAACAAGATCCAGGACAGGCACAAAAACTACATGGAGAAACTCTATCTCAAAAAACCAAAAAAAAAAAAAAAAAAAAAAAAAAGTGTTCAGTTAAACGATATTTAAATATTGTCTCTGTTGGCACAGAGTGGGTACTCTCTCCCTCTGCCATTCTACCCCCTTTCTATGTCTTGTTGCCCTCCACCCCTGGAAGAGGCTGGAGATCGCCACTCCTTATTGTCATTTATAGCCCAGTTAGCCCAGCAGGAATGGTCTGACACTGAAATCAGCTGTTTCTGGGCTTACTAGCGCAAGGCAGAGTAGAGCCTGGACTCCTTTAGATGGGATTCCTAGTCAGAAGATTGTCTTGACATCATGCCAGGGCTGAGCTGAGCTGAGCTTGCTGGGCATGCTGCTTTCCTGTGCCTCCTCGGCCCATGTGCATGATCGAACCACAGACCGTCACGATTGGAGGGATGCTGCAGGTTCTGCTCTAGGATTACATGTTTCTGAGTCTCAGTCTCTGCTACCATTGTGCATACTTGCTCATGTCTGACTGTGGTGGTATTTTACTTGTACTGAAATGTGATTTTAATTGTATGTTAATAAATAAAGTTGCCTGGGGGTCAGAGCTATTAGAGCCATAGCAAGTGCGTGGCGCACACCTTTAAGGACCTGGAGGGCGGTACATTCAGGCAGTGACGAGGCAGTCACATGTTTGGTTTTACAACCAATGAGAAGGCAGAACAGCTAGAGTATATAAAGACATACACACAGGAAGTAGGTCCCTTTCGGAGAGCTCTCTTGGCTGAAGAGGATCCCTGAATCAGGAAGGGTGAGGCTCTTAGCTCTGACCTCTTGGCTTTCTTCTCTGAATGGCTCTGTGTTTCTTATTTAATAAGACAGTTGGTTACATCTACATCTGACTGACTAGCTGCTGTCTTAAAAAAAGGAAAGTCAGTCCGACTCCTCTCTGTGTGCCAGGCCTGAACCCCAGTGCATAACTTTTCAAAAAGACTTCAAATGACATTTGACTAGTGCTTCTCTTTGCCACCAGGCAAACACTTACTAGGACAGTGTGGCAAAACTTGCTGTGAGTTGCAGGGCACAGAAAACCGTGTGCTGTTTCTCAGTCCAGTTCCTGGTGTAGGCATGCTGCCTATACCAAGACACACAGAGTGTTTCCCTTGTGGTTCCATGCTGTGCAGCTCCGGGATCGGCGAAGTCCAGGCTGCCTTGCTGCCTCCATTCCTGTCTCAAGCTTGCCAGCCTGTTCTCTCCCTCTTCCCGGTTACTCCCCGCTCAGCTGTGCAGCTTGGCTGAGCAAGGCTCTGTGGTTTTGGCTATTTGATAACCAGAATCTCCTTTCCTGTGATTGTCCAGTATTGAGCTTTGTCATCTGCCTTACAGAGAAGCTGTTTTCTGACTGTAACTTTTCCAAACCACTAAGACATCAGAAGCCTCAGAGTTAGGGTTCCATAGGCTGGATACACAGCTGGACAGAAGACATATGGCTTCCTAGATTGTCTGTATTAAAATTCAAAGTGGTCCACAGGACTCAGGGCATGGCAGCAGAAGGGTCATGAATTCAGGGCTTCCTGGGCCACACAGCAAGAACACATTGTTGGGGATGGGGCCGGGGCGGTGGGGGGGAGTTTATATATATCAAAGTCACTGTAAACAAAGTGACGAGCCCAGCTGCAGACTGGGGATAGGTCATCTGTGCAATCAGCAAAACATTGTTGTCCAGAGCACAGGAAGGAGGGATGAGAAAAATGAGTGAAGGCGATCAAAAGGATTTAATGGATGAACTCTTTGAAAGCATATTAAAACCCAGCTTCCCAATCTATTGCTATTATTCTAATTGGAGGTAGCATCAAACTGCCATTTAGTGACTATCTCTAAACCCACATTTTAGTGCAGTTCTCAGACCATATAGAGAAGTTCATTTGTCTAGTAAACCATAAATAGTGAAGAAACTCACGGATCTGTCAGTGTGCAGAATGATCAGCCACCAATGGGACCTCTGTGCCACTCTCACAGTGCCAGGGACAGGTACTGTCATGGAAGAAGGAGCAGGAGGGCTAAGAGCCGGTGGCCAAGGGGACACCAGAGCAAAGCCGTGGCTCCTGGACATGAGAGGAACACTGTATTGATAAACTCTCAGCACCTGTGGTGGCCTGCTGAGGATGCAAAAGATCAAGCTGGTCTCACTGGCCCTACCCTCTAGCTGAGGACCTATTGACAGCTGACCGCTTCTGGAGAAAGGAGACTGAATTTTCTTTAAGGGTGTGGCACCTAGCAGGTCCACCATTCCAGTAGCTGGCTCCGTACCCTTACGTTTATTGGTAGCACAAATTGGACTTGGTAGATTATTAAAGGAAAAAAAGAGAGTATGGAGTTAAGAAGGGGGTTAAGTCTGGGTTGAGTTAGGGGGAGGAATACATAGGATGCGTGAATAAAAATAACAAAGAATTAATGTGTTATACTTCAAAAATCAAGCTTCCAAACTACATAGTAAATCCTTTATTAAATTCTGTTACTTCACTCTTGACATGTTATAATCATATATAATTGTCAGTCACACCACGATGATGTATTGTATATACGCCACACTGTGGATATGTATTCATCACCTTAAATCCCTGTCATTCATTCCCGCTGTCTAACTGCAGCTTTGCATCTTGAGTAGCATCTCCTCTCCCCGCTCCCCCTCCAGCTCCTATACCCACTTTTCTCCTCTGCTTTTTTGAACCCTGCTATTTTTACAGTCCACATATCAGCGACATAAAAATGCTGTATGTTAAACTGTGAAGAGATCTCAGTGGCTGATAACCGTACCATGAAATTTCATAGGACCAATCCTTTCCAGAGCATGGAAATGGCTTTCAGGTTGGGATGCGATTAGAAGGCATCGATCCCCGGCGTCCATCTGTATTCTGTGCGCTTTCTGTAGCCGAGGTAAGAGGGGGGTGTTATGGCCTTGGGTTAATTGTGTGGTGACAGTTTTGTAGAAAAATAACAAATTTCAGCACTTTCTGACATAAACGAGTCCCAGTCCATTATGTTTGTCAATAATGTATAAAAATACACTTCGTAATAATTTTTTTCTTGCGATGAATTTTCTAGTAAGTTCTTCATCAACTAGTGTTTATCATTGAGATAACTGAAAAAAATAGGTCTGTCCAAAAGTCGATAATAATCTAAGGAGGCCACGGGGCTATTTTCACCTATTATAGTGATGTAATTATTCATAGATTAGCTGAACTAATGAATATATATTCATTTAAATACACTCATTTTATGAAAAATCATATACAGAGAACTGTTGTTGATGAAAACGAATGGATTTTAAAATGTAATGTTTATTCAAGGTGTTATTAAATCAATGAAAGAGGTCTAAATTTATAAAGGCATTGAACTCAGAAGTCACATTCACATGCTCTGTGTGATGATGATGGCTGTTAGACTTGTAAAGAATATCTGGAGGAAGTATTTCTCAGACCGTAGTTATTTTCTGTGTTAAATACACTGGCTCCATGGGTTAAGGCCATTCTGTAGCTCAGTCTATACCCTCTTGAGGTAGGAAGTAAGCCCACCAACAGAAGATACATTTTCTAAAAGGAATATTTGGTAGATACTGAATTAAGAGTCAATTAAAAATACTTGTTTTGGCCTCAGATTCCAAGATTGGTCTAAAGGGTATACTTTTGCAGAAAGTTCTAGATACCCCTTCATCATCATTTTGATGTAGTCATATATTATTTTACATACACATTTGTTCTCTGATGAAAGTGCCTGGATGGATAGATGGATCAGATTGGTTCATATTGATGATGTTGACTAGACATTTGAATATCTTTGTCAGTTTCTGAGCACATTTCAATCCATGCAACTTAATGAACAATTGTGAACTTTGTCTGATTCAGGTGTGTGGTTACCGGCTGAGACTGCATTTTGATGGTTATTTAAGCTGCTATGATTTTTGGACCAATGCTGGTTCCCCTGACATTCACCCAGTGGGGTGGTGTGAAAAGACCAAGCACGAATTGCATATCCCTAAGGGTAAGTCGGGCTGCATTTATCAGATGGAGAGAGGGACACTTGTTATTTCGGTTTTATTTTAACACCATTTCATGAAACACTAACAAGGGAGCTGGGTGTGAATTGTTTTTCCAAATGAAAGTTTGATCTCTAAAGAGAATAAGACCATGGCAGTGCCTTAGAGATGAGTGTAAAAAAAAAAAAAAGTTCATATGCCTTTCTAAGTTAAATATTCTGATTAGGAATTTAGAGCAACAAATATAATAGATTGGGAGCACGTGATCATATACAAAGCTTATTAATCCTTATAGCAAGAAACTGATGTTCAAAATCATGGTTGAAATGAAATATCACACTCTGTCAATGGTAACACACAGGGAAGAACCTTGATTTACTCTAAATTTGCTGCGAATTTGGAAATAATGGAAAGAACGAGTTAGTAAAATGCCACAGTCAGTTTTCTTCCGATGGAAAAATGAAGCTTTGTGTTTGGTTTCTGTTTCCTGTGAGACACATGGGCCAGGCAGTTAAGGTTGATCCTTTATTGCTATGAGAGGCCTTGGTCTAGGTTCTTTGGACAACCGTTGGCAGTGCATTGTTTCCCGATTGAGTGTTAGGTTGTTGAGTAACTGCAGCACATTTGGATTGAGTGTGCAGTCTCCCTCTTCTTAGGAATCGACTCAGGTGTTCTTTGGCATATGCCTGGGGCTGAAGGCAGTCTTTTGAATTGCTGGATTTGATGCGAGCTGGTGACAGTCAGTGGTCTCATTCATCCAATAGACATCATGAAGCCTTTAGTATATATTGGTACTAAATATTGAATGACAAAAATATGAAGTCTCAAGCTCTATGGGCTATCCTTCAGAGAAGGGAAGTGTAAATGGATGTTTTCCTTTGTCTCACAGCCATTCTCAAATAATCACTCAGAGGCTTAACATAAATTATAAATGATTGGCCATTAGCTCAGGCTTGTTACTAGCTAACTCTTACACTTAAATTAACCCATATTTTTATTTGTGCTTTGCCATGTGGCTCATGGCTTCTTACCTCATTTTTACACATCCTGCTTGGTAGGCGGCTGGCTGGCTGGTGTCCCCTCAACTCCGCCCTCCTTCTTCCTAGCATTCTCAGTTTGGCTTGCCAACCTAACTTCTTGCCTGACTACTGGCCAATCAGCATTTTATTAAACCAATTTAAGAGACAAATCTTTACAGTGTACAAGAGGATTATTCTACAGCAGGGAAGTACTGAGTAAGGCCCCAAGGTACTCTTTCAGATGAATATGTAGGCCTCTCTGAAGTCACAAGATCCCAAACACTTCAACAAAATGAAAAAGCAGCTTGACCTCCCAGGCAAGAGTTGATGTCCTGGAGTCGGGGAGTATTTGGACAGGATGCCAACTCGAGGAGACTAGTGGAGAACCATGGTAGAAAAGTAAAGCTCAATGTGTAAATGTAGTCTTGAACTCTGCAAAGAATTTGGCTTGTAGACTCAATAAGAAAATACTGATCCTGTGTAACTGGGGCCACTTCAGGTGTCAATGCAGAAATCACATCTCTCACCTTAAAGGGAATAAGAGAGTTTATTCTGAAGCCATTTTGAGTGACCATGGCCTAAGAACACATATCTAAGTTACCTCCAATTCCATGTGTCAATATGGAAACAATTTCATGAAATTTTAATAGTGTTACAGAACAAGGAAAGTCATAAATCAGGGCAAGTTTAAAGTGCATTGATGAGTAAATCAGAGATGGGGGAAGATGAGTAAATGTAGCAAGATGGGGGAAGCTCTTCTATGGGCCAAGATGCTATCTGATGGCATTTTTAGCTTTTGTGTTGGAGAAGCTAGTGGCCTGTTAAGTTAATAGAGTCCAAAAGGTTTCTATTAGTTACAGAGTTTTTGTTCTGATGCAGAAGGGGGCAAGGAATGGCTATTCCAGCTTGTTAGAACTACCCCAAGATAAGGTAACTAGCCTCTGGACCTGCAACATTCCAACCTCCCCGAAGTACCAAAATCCCAAGGAGCCAATCAGACAGTCTGTGCAGACATAGACTTCTTTCTAGAAATTCTCATTCACACAGGTCCCATGGATGGGAAGATAAGACACTTTTACCGAGTAATTTATAAAGATTGGGAACAGAGAGTTAGACCTGCTAAATGGCCTTTGAATTTTGGCAGTGCTGGGTATTGATCCCAGGGTGACCTTTGGAATGTGAAGGGGTTCCTAATCTCTCCCAAGTGTCTGACCATCCCAACTACTAAAGCATTAGGACCTCTCTTGGTCTTTGTGACCTGGCTTCCTGGTGAATGGCAACCACTCTGGGACTCTTGTCTCACTCTTTTTGCCCTTCTTTAAAAGCCTAGGGCAGGGGAGGGGGCAACACCGTATCTCAGTGGATATTATTCATCTGTAGGGACTGATATATATTATGGAAACCACACTCCACGACTTTGAACTTAAGACATTTAAACAACATGAGAACAATTTGGAGATTTTAATATAAATCATTTGTGAAGAGCTAAGGAGTTACTGAATATATAGCAGAAGATTAAAACTAGGAATAATAATATATTTAAAATATATGTGATGATGTCTTGTGGATATTTTGAATAATGTGTACCTTTTTTAGGTTATAGAAAAGATAAAATTGTTTGGATGGATTATTTGAAGGCCTGTAGATTGCAAAATGCTCCTAAGAAATTATTCAGAAACAGAAGTCCTGTGAGTATTGTCTTCCTTCCTGTAAATCCCACTCTTCCCTAAGCTTAAGTTTCTTAAAATTTGCTTTATATGCTGTTATATTGTAAACCTAATAAATTACAAAATGTCTTAATTGCCTTTACCTTTCCTAACTTAATTCATCATAGTCTCCCCTGGGCATATAGCTTTTTGTTTGTTTGTTTGTTTGTTTTCATTTTTCTCCTTTATCATTGCAATTAAATACTTCAGAAAAGTTAATTTAAATTAAGCCCACTAAGACTTATTTAAAATACTTTTATGGATAATTTTTCCTTTATGTTGCAACAAGTTAGTTCCTTAAGCTTAATTTTGGTGTTTTGAAGTGAATAAATAGTCCAGACAGACTCTGTCACATGCGTAGCAGAGATGTATCTAAGAATGATGAAAATGGAAGAAGCCTTGTTGGCAGATCCAAGGATGCTGTTCTAGGATTTGGTTAGAGGAGGCCCCTCGTGCTTCTGTGTCCTAAGCAACTCAGTGAGCCTTCAGAGTAGAATGAAAGTTCAATGCTCAGCCATTCTCTGTACTCAGTCGTGAGTGGGCATTTTGGGAGAGAATGAAGCAGGACAGGAGCCAGGACCGAACTCTGGCCCCTAGGGACCCTCTCCCTCCTTTGCCTGGTGTCCCAGCTGGGCCCTACCTACTGAGGGTCCCAAACCTAGTACACTTTACTGAAATAAGTTACACTTTCCTGATCTGATGTTAATGTTAGATATTTATTATATGTCCCTCGTAGATTTGTATGTCAAGGAAATGGACTTTACTGATAGGAGATTGCCTTAAAAATAGAATCCACTGAAAGATAAAGAGATAGACAAAGGAATCCTCTATCCAGTCTCCAGTATTATATGTATCTTAAAGCTCCAATGCTGTCTAATTATAGCTATTTCATACAAAAAGTAGAGTTACATTTAACCATAATCTATATTTTCTGCTAGACACATCGAAGCATTAAAGTCATTTGTATTTGTATCTGTACAATACAGTCTTTAAACACTGAGAAAACAGTAGATTTAAATTCCATTATCAAATTAAACAATTGTGTGTGTGTGTGTGTGTGTGTGTTAAAGAGCATAATCTTTACCACTTTTCAAATAGTGGTATTTGGAAATTTCATTAGCCTACAGGGAGTAGATGATACATTTATCATCTGGTGTAACCATATTCAGTTAAACATTGAATCTTAGAATCCGTTCACATTACTCTAACAACCAAACAGGGCAAAATGAAGATGATAAAGGAAAAACAACTTCCTTATGTAACTAAAATGGAAAGCCATTGGGAACTTTGTGTCCTCAGTCCTTGTTATAAATGAGGGAGCCTCTGCCTTTCCCTTCCCGAGTCAGGTGAATAAGTGTTGATACTGTGTAGACCTTGTTAGTTCTTAAGTGTCATAGACATCCCCACAGTAGTTTGGTACCATGGGTTGACCTGTTTGATTCTGTGTCTTTCCGCCACTCCGGTGCCATGTTAGAATGGGCCAGTGCCAAAGGAGCTTCAGGTCGGAATGAAGCTGGAGGCTGTGGACAGAAGGAACCCTCGCTTGGTATGTGTGGCGACCATCGCAGACATCGTGGAAGACCGTGTACGAGTGCATTTGGACGACTGGGATGATGGCCTTGATTACTGGTGAGACATCAGCATGCATGTGCTTTGCCTGCATCTGTATTTAGTATTCGGAATTCATCTTTCTGGTGTTGACCGTCTTTACCATAACACACATCAGAAATTCATCAGTTGACTTTTTGGTGCCTCTCTTCCACATGGATTGTTGAATTGAAGAGCACTGCCCTCCGCACCCCACCCCACCCCCCATTTTTCCCTATCGTCTATGAAGTTACTCAGCAGTGTCTCTCTTGAAGCAATGGAAACATCTCAGGGCTTGCTCTTGCTCTTATATTTTATCTCATTTATAATGGAAATGGATTTGAGAAGGGGAACTTAAGTTGCAGAGTTGATTTTTTTCATGGTGGGGGGTGGGGTCTGAAAACTGTTGAACTCAGCCTTGCACACAAAAGATCCAAGGAGAATGGGAGTGAATGATTTGAAAGCCCGTGGGGAGTAGAGAAAATGTGTGCTGTGGAGCCATTAAATGGGATTTGCGCACATTGAGAGGTCTAACTGGATAAAAAAAAAAAACCTGAACTATGGAATAGGCAGTGGCAAAAATAATCTTTCATGCACCCGATGAGGGTCTGGTGTTCTCCTTTGAACTAAGAAGCAGAACATAGAGTCATTGTTGTATAGACTATTCCAGATCCTTTGAAAAGTAAAAGGAAGAATGTAGCTGTCTTGGGTCTTACTCAGCAGTCTTGTTCACATATGGAGTTTCCTATTAACAATTGGCCCTGTTAGTAGTCAGAGTGGATGGAACAGACTGACTAAGACCTTTACTCGATGATCACCTGTATAGTCAGCTCTGTGTTAGCTCCACCCTACTTCATTTTCTAGTTTCAAATATAAGAAAATCGTGAAAGTAAGAAGTTTGGTCACCCACTCTAAAGTGCTGTGCTTGACCTTGTTTCTAGCTCCTGGTAACTGAAGTGCTAGCCCTGTGGGACCTCTTTACATCCAGCATGGTCATTGCTCTTTGATTCTCTATTATTCCCTGTTTGTGATTGTGATGGGATCTCAATAGGAGCAATGGGAAGGAAGAAGGATTATTTTGGCCTCGTGTTGAGAGTGTGGGGAAGGCATGGTGATGGGAGGACAGTGGGAGTCAGAGTAGTGGTTCTGCTATGTGCTCATAGGCCAGAATAAGGATCAGCTATAATGGCCCAATTCATTCCTGCAGTCCTACATTTGTCAGTTGTACACCATAGCCAAAAGGTTCATCAGCCTTTAAAACTGGTGATTTAGGTGAGCACAGTCTTCCCTTGAAATCCAGTACTGTGAGTGTAAACACAGAATCCTGTTTTGGCAGGTGTGATGTTAACAGTCCTTATGTCCAGCCAGCTGGTTGGTGTCAGGAGAATGGAAGAACTCTGGTAGCACCCCAAGGTGAGCAGAGTGATGTTCTTTGAAGTCATCTCTGTGTGACTGGATTTCCTTATTTTCCATTTTGGTAGCAATATTTCATTGCATGATGAGTGGATAAAAATATTGGGAAATGCCATCAGCCACCACCAAGTGTCTAAAGCCTGCATGGACTATGTTCATAGACTGTATTGGGCAGTTTTTTAAAAAGTTGATAGAATTTTTAGCTCATTCAATGACACCATTGCTGAGGACTGACATTTGAAAGTATATATCCAGGTACATATAACTGAATTTGTTAATCAAATCATAAGATTATTTAATGTCTTTTACTTTGAAGCTAAATGTAAAAATATAAAAATGTAGAAAGTAAGTCTTAATGTATGCCCTGACTTGCCAAGACATCTTTCAACAAGCCAACCTAATGGTTGCCAAGACATCTTTCAACAAGCCAACCTAATGGCTTAGCCACATATATAAATGAGTCCTCTCCCTGGTTACTGTTTTAAATTACATAAATGCTGAGAACTATTTGGAGACTTTCTGTATAACATCTCTTTGTTTTCAGATTTAACACTGAGAATGGATGGTAGGGGGTAGCATTGTGGTAGAGGACTTCTCTAGCATGCTGGATGGCGATCATGGGTTCAATCCCCAGCATCAGGCCTGAACGAAAAAATAAGGAGTTGACTAGATGTAGTTTTATTTTAGCATCTTTAATACAAATGTTCAAAGAGAAATCTATTTTCTTTCAATATGTAATATACAAGAATAAATGTAGAAAACAGGATATAGCATCTATAATGTAGCAGCTGTTTGGTTTTTAGCATGAATAATTATGGACTTTTGTAGTTTTTAAGTCCTAAACAGAAACGGAGGAGGAGTGGATTAGGGAGTGAGAACAGTGGAGGAGGGTGACAGGAAGGACCAGGAGGAGAGAAGGGAGGGGAAACTGTGGCTGGGATGGGAAATGAATGAATGAATGAATGAATGAATAAATAAATAAATGTGTTGAAAACAAAATTCAAAACATTTTTTAATATTAAAAATTATACAAAGTAAAGGATGTCTCATGGACATTTTCAAATATTTATATGATGTATTTAGGTCACACCCATCCCTTTATTACTTTCTCTTTTTAATTGAAAATATATTTTTTTCATATAATATATTCTGACTATGGTTTCCCCTCCCCCAACTCCTCCCAGATTCTCTCCACATCTACGCCCTTTCATTCTCTCTTTCATTAGAATACAAATAGGTATATAAAAATAATAAGACAAAAAAAAAAAAAGAATAGGACAAAGCAAGAAAATAAATAGAAAAAAAGAGAGCCAAAACGACACTACTCCTCATTCTGGGTTGCCTGGTCTAACCTTAATGCATGAGGAGGTGCTTAGTCTTACTACAGCTTGATATGTCACGTTTTGTTGATATCCATGTGAGACCTGCCCTTTCCTGAACAGAAACAGAGGAGGAGTAGACTCGGGGGTGGAAGCAGAGGTGGGGTGAGGAGGAGGGACCAGGAGGAGTGGAGGGAGGGGAAACTACAGCTGGGATGTAAAATAAATAAAGTAATTAATTAATTTTAAAAAGAGCCAAAGAAAATCATAAGAAACAAATATACAGGCACTGAGACACACATATTCACATATACAGAAAATCCATTAAAACAAAGTCAGAAACCATAATACATAAGCAAAAGATCTGTAAGGGAAAAAATTAAATAATCTCCAAAGAGATAATTGAGTTTGTTTTATGTTGGCCATCTACTGTGATGCAAGAGGCCTGCCCTAAGTGTGGTTTATATGCCCAGTGAGACTATTGGAGAAAACAAATTTTTCCTTTGAGAGAGAGTATCATTTGGAGATAGCTTCAGGATTGGGGTTGGGACCCGTATCTACTTCACCTCACCTCTCAGTACTGGGACCCCACCTGGTTTAGAACTTTCGTACATTCTTTTTTTTTTTTTTTTTTTTTTTTTTTTTTTTTTTTTTTTTTTTTTTTTTTTTTTTGGTTTTTCAAGACAGGGTTTCTCTGTGTAGCTTTGCGCCTCTCCTGGAACTCACTTGGTAGCCCAGACTGGCCTCGAACTCACAGAGATCCGCCTGGCTCTGCCTCCCGAGTGCTGGGATTAAAGGTGTGCGCCACCACCGCCCGGCTCTTTCGTACATTCTTAAGTCCCCTCCCCTCCACACCCCTAGAAATCCACCCTTTAGTGTCCCACTCTTCTCCCCATTCCCCACCAATTCCACACATACTAAGGAAGAGATGTATTTGTTTTGGTGGGACCCGTTCACTTCACTTAACATGACGATCTTCAATTCCATGTTCCTTCAAATGACGTAATTTCATTCTCCTTCATAGCTTCACAGTGTATAAACAAACGCAGCGCTTGACCCATGCATCTGTTGATGAGGACCTAGGTCAGTTTTATAGCTTGGTTAGTATGAATTGTTCTGTGATAAACATAAGTATGCAAGTATTGCTAACATAAGCTGAGTTCATTCTTTAGAATATATGCTCAGAAGCAGACTGGATCATACAGAAGTTGTATTTTTTAATTTTTTAAAAGAAAATTCCACATGGACAGCATCAATTAACTTTCCTCCCAGCACTGGATGTAGGGTTTTCCCCTCACATCCTTGCCAGCATTTTTTTCTCTTGGTGGTACCCACTGCAGCTGAGGTGAAATAGAATTCAGTGTGGCTTTGCTTATTTCTTCCCCCCCAGCACCCACCCAACTTCATGTTTGTTCACTCTCTTAAAACACACACACACACACACACACACACACACACACAAACCCGAAAAACGTGGAGTCTGGTTTGTGTTAGTCAACTTCTGGGCATGGGGCCTGTACTAGAGTACGTTGGATGTACCCACTGTCACTCTATTGAAGAAAACTTATTTCCTTCTAATAGAAACTACCAACTGTGAACTGCTTCTTGGCCAAGGGTGGGGCTCTGTGTCTACTCTCCTCTGTGCCGGGATTCTTGTCTCAGTTGAGTTTGTGCAGGTCTTGTGCGTGCTGTCATAGTCTCAGTGAGTTTATACTTGCCTTGTCATGTCTGGAAAAAAAACTGCTTGCTTAGAGTCATCAGTCACCTTTGGCTCCCACAATCTTTTCACTCTCCATGTAGTTCCCTGGACCTTGAAGGGAGAGCAGTGTTAAAGACATTGAGAGCTGAATACTCCGAAGTCTCTCACTCTCTGAATATTGTCCTGTTGGGGGTCTTTGTGGTAATCGCCACCTAGTGCAAGAAGAAGCTTCCATGATGAAATTGAGCAATGTACTGATCTATGAGCACATCAGAATGTCACTTTATTGCTATGCCCTTTTATTAGAATATTAGTAGTAAGTTTTGCCATAGGCCTATAACCTGTCTAGTCACAGTTTCTTGGCCTCATTATCAGTATAAAGGATGGATTTTATCTCATCAGGGAGCTTTACATTCAATTAAAAAGTGATGTGTTACTCTCCTAACGTTTATGCCGCTGCTGCACCAGTGGGCATGTCTTGCAGGCAGGTCATTATTATAGACTGCAGGCTTCATAGCTGGGTGAGATTGACGATTGCCCTCCTTCCTTGGTATCGTATAGAGCACCTTCTAGCACTGTGAATGCTATCCAGTAGAGGTGGGCCTTCCAGTTGAGTATTAGCTAGATCTAGACATCCCATTCTTGAACATATACACAAAGGACTCTACGTCTTACTGAAGAGATACTTCCTCATCCATGTTCATTGCTTCTGTATTTATAATAGTCAGAAATTGGACCTAGGCAAGATGTCCATCAACTGGCGAGTAGATAATGGAAATGTGGTACATTTATGTAATGGAATATTGTTCAGTTACCAAGAAAAACAAAATTATGAAGTTTTCATGGAAATAAGTTTAGCTAGAAGGAATCACCTTGAATGAGGTAACCCAGACCAAGAAAGACAAACACTGCACATTTCCTCTCATATGTGGTTGTTAGCTTTTGAGGTTTAGAGATGTGAGTTCCATTTGGCACCAAGGTTAGATGGCTAGTAAGGGACTTGAGGGGGGAATTTCCAATGAAGTGGAAATAAAGTACAGTGTAATACGGGTATAAGAAGGGAATTAGAGGAGGAGGTTAAAAGGAATAAGGGATGGGAAGGCAGGGTAGAGGAGGGAATATGGGAGGGACTACTAACAGCAAAGGCCTTTTGAAAACCCACTAATGTAGAATATTCTTAATAGGTACATATATTACAACAGTTTAAATATCATCATATAATGGGGGAAAACAGTACCCCAAGTAGATATCATAAGGTACCAAATAAAACTCCAGTGCAAGGAGTGCATTACATCTTTTGAGTTGTTGGCCAAAGGTGTCCCAGAGAGCACCCCAAACACTGCAGCTCTAGGTAGTGCCAGGATTGGGTTATCTTTTGAGTTGTTGGCCAGAGGTGTCCCAGAGACCACCCCCAACACTGCAGCTCTTGGTAGTGGTGCTGCTGGCTATTCTCCACAACTTGATGGAAAGAGGCTATTGCTGAAGACACTACAAACTTGACAGATCACATGGAGAAATCTAGTTTGTCTCTTTAATTCATTGATTTTAATGTTGTTGTGTGGAAGATTGTTAGTTGTCAATTCTTGCTTTTGTTTCTGGAACTCTTGGAGTCCTATTAAAAACTTCACTGTACGTTTTCACTGCTGGTGGGAGTGGAAACTAGTATAGCCACTGTGGAAATCAGCGTAGAGGTTTCTCAAGAGGCTAGAAATAGATCTATATGATCCACCATACTTCCAGAGGACTCTACTTCAGGGATACTTCCTCATCCAATTTCATTGCTACTCTCTTCACAATAGCCAGGAAATGGAAACAAACTAGGTGTCCACCAATGGATGCATGGAAAATGAAAATGTGTTTCATATACATAATGAAATATTTATTATTCCACTGCAAAGAAAAATGAAATTCACAAGTAGCTAGATGGAGCTTGAAATAATCATTCTAAGTGAGGTAACCCACATCCAGAAAGACAAATGCTG